GCTATTTCTCAAGTTCTCATACCAACCCAATACCCTCCAAGTTCAAAAGGACTTGCAATCAAGCAGCCATTGAAGTTGCAATCTGAGATGCAAAAGGTAAGATATTAGAGGGCAGAGCTATAAATATTATGGCAATACCAGCTTCGTTTTTGAAGCAGAAATGATCCGAGATATTTGGTTGATGGTGAAAACATTAGACTTGATGAATCGAGTTGTTGAGAGTGATAACTTGGAGGTGATTTGATTAACTGCCAATGAAGGGAATACCCTTGGGAAATTAAAACATTAGTATAAAATATCAGACTATGTGCTTCCAGTTTTAACATCAGATTTCCTAAATTTTCAAGAAATGGTAATGCTGCAGCACATTGGGTACCAGCCTCCTCCAAATTAGAAACGCACTGTTTAGATTGGACAGCTTCTCTACCTAATACATTAGGGTACATATTTAGTCTTCTTGTATTTCTCCATTTTTTTTTTTTGGGGGGGGGGGGAGGGAAGGAACTGGAACCCTTGAATTCAAGAAGACAACTTTTATGAGACAAGAGTACCATTGGACCAAAGGCCCATTGGTCTTGTATTTCTCTTAGCTTGTAGATTTTGTATCAAATTTCCTTTGGTGATAAAAAAAAGGAATGTTTGGAATGTAGTATTGCAATGCTCATCTCTTTCAAGCTAATGAAATGATTTTTGTTTTTCCTTGGGGGGGGGGGGGTCCTTTTTCTCCATTTGGACAAGCCAAAGATTCTCATGGAAACAACTAACTTCATTTTTAAAACCCTTGTAATGTAGTATTTGGTTCTATAACAGGAAAACAAAAATGTAGTTACATATGTAGAGTAAAATCAATGTATCCAACACATAATGTGTCATATTCCAGAAGATCAACTTCTAACCTTTTCGACATTCTCCTCATTTAACGCAAGGCCAGTCTCAGTATCAAGAATTTGTTCCACTTCTAGAATTTCCGGGATCTTATCTCTAAGCCGAGTTTCAATTCCCATCTTTAGTGTCATCGTTGAACTCGGACAAGACCCACATGCTCCTTGTAGCTTCAGTACCACAACAAGCCCATCAATCTCATGTAGTGCAACATTCCCTCCATCTGCCATTAGACCTGGCCGCACCTCGTCTAACACCCTCTCAACATTCTCCTCAGTTAGTGGAAGGACATTGCTAGGTGAAACCACAATTCCTGCATACCGACAGTCACACTAAAGTCAGAATTTTGATAGCAAGTGTCAATTTTGTGCATTAAGCTCAAGTTTGGTTGCTGCAAATAAATTAAAAGAAAAATCTGAAATGCAGTTTGAAAACATGGAAACTCATCTCAGTTATAGCCTTATTACAAAATTCATTCTTGAATACCCCCCTTCTCCTCACATTTACTCAACCAAGCAAACTATTCCTCCATTGTCAAACTTTTAAACCAAAAAAAAAAAATCTTAGATTCTTTTTATCATTTCCACTTCATTTGTTTTCTCACCATAACATAGCATAAAAATTAGCACATGACTTAACATGTAAACCACCACTCCAACACCCTTGATTAGCAAAGTCAATCTGGATCATGAACCCTACTAAATAATTCTACAACATTAGGCTTACCAAATTTCGATACCAAATCTTTCATCACAAATGTGGCACATTCACCGTCATTAAATATGGATGGGCCGCATTTGTGATGGTGTTAAATATGTCGCATCATTTAGAATGACTGATTTTTTATGTAAATTTGATAACTGCAACATTACTGTAATGGATGAAAATATAAGCTTCCATAAGATTACCCGCACGTTTTCTATGTCCAATAGTGGAATTCAATCCAAGGAGGTGTTTAGCATGGAACTGTCCTCTGAGAAATGAGTTCTGCTTTGATGAAAATCTACAACAATCTGATATGGGATTCTAGAGAGAGAGAGAGAGTTTACATTGATTCAGTTAATATAACTGACAGAAAAGATTAAATGTAATATGCCAAAATTCTAATTGTTTCACGGAGAGAGAGAGAGAGAGAGAGAGAGAGCACTTCTGATTCAGCTAATATAACCGACAGAAAAAGATTATATACTATATGTCATAATTCTAGTTGTTGCAAATAGAGCTACTAATATAACTGAAAGAAAAGATCAAATATAAAATGCCACAATTCTACTGGTTTCAGACACCTACACACACACACNATAACTGAAAGAAAAGATCAAATATAAAATGCCACAATTCTACTGGTTTCAGACACCCACCCACACACACACAGATTACANGTCATAATTCTAGTTGTTGCAAATAGAGCTACTAATATAACTGAAAGAAAAGATCAAATATAAAATGCCACAATTCTACTGGTTTCAGACACCTACACACACACACACACTGATTCAACTAATATAACTGACAAAAAATATATTATTCAAGACGCCATAATTCTAATTGTTTCAAGACATACACACCCACACATGACACACGCACGCACACACACATGACACAGATTACAACCCTGATTCACCTAACATAATTGACAGAAAAAAAAGAAAATTACAAAAAGAATGCCACAAATCAGTATTCCGAAACAATTATGCATGCCTGCATATGTTGTATAGTGGAGGGACTTTCACGGAGTACCTTGAGGAGAGAGAAAGTAGTAGGAGAGGACCTTTCAGATGAATGAACAAGTGACGTGGTTTGTGTTGCTTTGAGACCTTGGGTCTGGGTTGAAATTGCCCTCATTTCTTCTATGTTTTCAGTAAAATGCATAGGGAGACCTCATGAAAAACTGTAGTAAGATACCATGTTACCNGTGACGTGGTTTGTGTTGCTTTGAGACCTTGGGTCTGGGTTGAAATTGCCCTCATTTTCTTCTATGTTTTCAGTAAAATGCATAAGGAGACCTCATGAAAAACTGTAGTAAGATACCATGTTACCACTGGGCAACAGTGTTATGTTTTGAGGGAAAATCATACTAGGGATGGAAGAGATTGGTGGAATTTTTTTTTTTGATTGGCTGATAAATGATGATGATAGATAGAATCTGAATTTTGGGCAAATGTCAGGTTATCCCTCCAACATTTTAAGTTTTTCATTTTGTCCGCTCAAAGATTAATAGTTCTATATTATGTCCTGAATTTTTTTAAATGAAGGGCAGAGTGCAAAATAAAATTAGAGTGAGATCTCTTTTAATATATATTTTTTTCAAATTATTTTTTATGTGCATCTCCGCTTAATATATGATTGATGATTAGTCAAGAAAATGTATTTTAAGGGACTTAAATCCTATAAAGTTTTGTACATCATTAGTAATGCTTTTAATTAATGTTTTTAAGAAAAGATGATTTATTTCAAAAAGAAGTAAAAGAATTTTTTATTAACACTTATAAAAATAATTTATATGTATTTATATATATACACATGTACCCATATACTATTTTTCATGTGGTTAAGGTTGAAAAGAAAGAATCTATCCGGACAAAAAATAAAAATAAAAAATATAGAACAATCGCGGATTAAAAAATCCTTACAAAGTTAAAAGGAAAAAGTTTTTTAAAAAAAAAAAAAACATTAGACGGTCCTTAATATTTGAAGAAACAACACAAGCATGTGGATGGCTTAAGCGTTCAAAACTGCGGAAAGGTAGGAAGCCACGTCAGAGGTTTGTTTCTTCCTTTTCATTTTCTTCAGGTAAATGCATTTAGCTGGGCCAAGGTTTTGTGCAAATGTCAGAATGGCCCAACAGTCGTGATAACAAATTAATTGTACCTCCACTATGAAAAGAATTTTGGTGACACTAGAAAACACTCGATACAAATAAATTGTTACCCACGTAAAGAGATAGGAGAATGTGGGAAGTGTTAGACGATTTGAAAATTTCGTTGTATGTTGATTTCTGCAATTTAAATGATTAAATTTAATAATTTGGACTCACTCTTCATTTTTCTAATAACCATTGGGCAACAGACAAGCACCACTTCTTTTTTTTTTTGGGTCAGGAAATACGTACTTGTTATATTAAAATTCATGAAACAAAGTAAATTCATCCAAGACTAAGNATAGTTCTATATTATGTCCTGAATTTTTTTAAATGAAGGGCAGAGTGCAAAATAAAATTAGAGTGAGATCTCTTTTAATATATATTTTTTTCAAATTATTTTTTATGTGCATCTCCGCTTAATATATGATTGATGATTAGTCAAGAAAATGTATTTTAAGNGACATACACACCCACACATGACACACGCACGCACACACACATGACACAGATTACAACCCTGATTCACCTAACATAATTGACAGAAAAAAAAGAAAATTACAAAAAGAATGCCACAAATCAGTATTCCGAAACAATTATGCATGCCTGCATATGTTGTATAGTGGAGGGACTTTCACGGAGTACCTTGAGGAGAGAGAAAGTAGTAGGAGAGGACCTTTCAGATGAATGAACAAGTGACGTGGTTTGTGTTGCTTTGAGACCTTGGGTCTGGGTTGAAATTGCCCTCATTTCTTCTATGTTTTCAGTAAAATGCATAGGGAGACCTCATGAAAAACTGTAGTAAGATACCATGTTACCACTGGGCAACAGTGTTATGTTTTGAGGGAAAATCATACTAGGGATGGAAGAGATTGGTGGAATTTTTTTTTTTGATTGGCTGATAAATGATGATGATAGATAGAATCTGAATTTTGGGCAAATGTCAGGTTATCCCTCCAACATTTTAAGTTTTTCATTTTGTCCGCTCAAAGATTAATAGTTCTATATTATGTCCTGAATTTTTTTAAATGAAGGGCAGAGTGCAAAATAAAATTAGAGTGAGATCTCTTTTAATATATATTTTTTTCAAATTATTTTTTATGTGCATCTCCGCTTAATATATGATTGATGATTAGTCAAGAAAATGTATTTTAAAGGACTTAAATCCTATAAAGTTTTGTACATCATTAGTAATGCTTTTAATTAATGTTTTTAAGAAAAGATGATTTATTTCAAAAAGAAGTAAAAGAATTTTTTATTAACACTTATAAAAATAATTTATATGTATTTATATATATACACATGTACCCATATACTATTTTTCATGTGGTTAAGGTTGAAAAGAAAGAATCTATCCGGACAAAAAATAAAAATAAAAAATATAGAACAATCGCGGATTAAAAAATCCTTACAAAGTTAAAAGGAAAAAGTTTTTTAAAAAAAAAAAAAACATTAGACGGTCCTTAATATTTGAAGAAACAACACAAGCATGTGGATGGCTTAAGCGTTCAAAACTGCGGAAAGGTAGGAAGCCACGTCAGAGGTTTGTTTCTTCCTTTTCATTTTCTTCAGGTAAATGCATTTAGCTGGGCCAAGGTTTTGTGCAAATGTCAGAATGGCCCAACAGTCGTGATAACAAATTAATTGTACCTCCACTATGAAAAGAATTTTGGTGACACTAGAAAACACTCGATACAAATAAATTGTTACCCACGTAAAGAGATAGGAGAATGCGGGAAGTGTTAGACGATTTGAAAATTTCGTTGTATGTTGATTTCTGCAATTTAAATGATTAAATGTAATAATTTCGACTCACTCTTCATTTTTCTAATAACCATTGGGCAACAGACAAGCACCACTTCTTTTTGTTTTTTTGGGTCAGGAAATACGTACTTGTTATATTAAAATTCATGAAACAAAGTAAATTCATCCAAGACTAATNAGATAATATTACCCTTATTTAATTTTAATATGGGGTATTACAAATAAACTATGAAATCAATCCTTAAATGGCTTTCATTAACCTAACTATTCTGGTCATGATACATATAATTTTGAATTCTCCTTATTAATAAGGTACAAATATATTTCTTGTATTATAATAAAAAGTAACAATACGCTATCAAGGATCCCAAAATATCTCTCAATTCACTACCACAAGATTTTTTGTGATATAATTAAAACCAAAACATGTAAGACCCCGCATTAAAATTAAAGAAAAATAATATTATCTTAAGATTTCTCTCAATCTTTCAATAATGATAAAGTTTTGATAAATAAAGATTGATTAGAAAGTGTATTTACGTTGAGATAAATAAATTTTTTGAGATGTTTGGATTGAATAGTATGACTAAGTAATTTTCTAAATATTTTTATGTCAAAATAAGGTTTCCATTCAATCCAAAAGGTCGAGAAACTTTAGAAGAGGTAATATGGGGAGTATTAGAAGTTAGGAAGTATTCCGGAGTTAAAACCCATTTTGGAGAGAATTTGGGTAGAAAGAAATTTGACACTACCTTAGTATTTTGGCTATAAATTTTTAATATTAATTCTAATTGAGTTGAGATTTGGACAGTATAAACTAGACTTCAAGAGCTACAAAAATTTATTTCATAAACATTTTCTGAATCAACTTCTAAATAGGTCAAAATTGATCTGGAAGTGGAGGGTATACTGTCACCCGTGTCCGGATGGGAATAGACATGCGTCCGAACGAATTTTGGTGGAAATTTAGATGAAAAAACACGCGTTTAGACAATAAAAAACACGCGTCCAGATGCAACAAACTGGGATTTTCATGTCCTAGACCTATTTTGGGTGTTTTCGCCAATTTTCACCTTATAAATATCTAAGGACACCTCTCTTAGCCTCATTTCATCAATTCTAACCTTATAGAGTCTTGGGGAGTAAGAAAGAATGGGATAAACACAAGATTGAAAGGGATTTTTGCATTGGATCGAATCAAAATCTCTAATTTTTTACACAACACTAAGGAAGCAAGGTAGGAGTTTCTTCTTAATCTAGTCCATTTTGACTCTCAATCATAAATATTTGTTATGAAATTCTTGTTTCTTGATGTTCTTGTAAATCATATCATGTTTTGAATGAAGTTATGATTGGATAGCCACAAAATCCTTGTTTTTCATCTCAAAACCCTTGTTTTTCAAGAAATAGAGATTTTTCCCTTGGTATTTCATTGTTCTTGATTTTTAAAAACTCTAGTGCTTTATTTGGAATAATAAAATTATATCTTTTGATGATCTCTTGCTAATTTTCTTGAGTTGTTATATTGAAAAAATACATGTAGAATTTGGGGTTCTTGCTTTACTTGTGATTTGAGATATTGGTTGAGTATTATATCTCTTGTGTGGATGTTTAGATGAACATGGGTGACCATTGACTGGGTATTGTAGAGTGGGTAGATGCGTTTCTTACTTTGAGTGGGTTTGAAAGTTATCTATCACTCGTAGTGGGGTTGGTACCTTACAATGACTAAACCACTATTCGCTCATGTGGTATCGAGACTGATGGTTAGTATACTATTCTTGGGTTGAATCATCACTGCCGATGCGTCGGTATACGCCCTTCCTAAAGTTGTATATCCTTGCGAGGATTGAGTGTGTGTGTGTGGGCCAAGATATTCTTAAAGTGTGTATTCATGCGAAGTCTTACTTCCTACATGAGATATAATTGGGGATAATGGTACATAATTGCTGGNGCGAGGATTGAGTGTGTGTGTGTGGGCCAAGATATTCTTAAAGTGTGTATTCATGCGAAGTCATACTTCCTACATGAGATATAATTGGGGATAATGATACATAATTGCTGTAAATGATATAAAATGTTGGAAATGGTTCATTGTTTGAAAGTTGATTTCACTTATTCATTTAATTTATTGATATTGCGTAAACTTGAGATCGGATGAACTGTTACTGTTTTCTTTCAAGAGTTATATATGATATTTGTGAAATAAGACCAACTTTTT